TGGCAGCAGTAGGAAAGTCTTTCAGCTCTCGCAGTGTTATTGTAACAAGTTTCCTGTTTGTGCATTTTTGCTTCTGCCTTTTCTTCCTCCCCCCATTTTTCCTTCCCAGAGTCACTGCTCTGATCCCTCGATTCCCACTCCAGGGGCTTGTTGCTGGCTGATCCTCCTCTCAGTGCATCCCTGCCTCAGGCCCCCAGAGGTTCATCTTTCCCACTCACCGTCTGTGCATCCTTTCCATAGCTGATCACCTTCAACTGCAGTGGAAGTGGTGGTGACCCATATTCATGGATATTTAATGCTCTGAAACAGAGAGAGCTCCTTGGTTTCAGTGGGAATTGGCTAGCTGTTTGCTGAAGGCTGCCAACAACATCAAGAGTTGCTCCATGTTACATATCCATGAGGAAATGTTCTCCCTCCCCAGCATGTTGGTGGGATGGGGTTGGGACTTGGCAGTGGGGTGGTGGGACTGGCTGCCTCCTCTGTCCCACCACGGGGTGACTCCCAATGCCAGCACAGAGCTGCAGCCCTCTGGGTGAGCTGCTCAGTGTGGTGGTTCCTCTTGGAGGGGAGGGGCTCTGACCTTGCTGGGCCCCTGGATTCTGTGTTCTGAAGCATCTTTAAATGCTAGATGTCTAAAACCTGCATGGTGGGAAACTGGCAGGAGAAAGGAAGCAATGTTGGCATTGAACTTGTGCTGCCGCTGGCTCAGGCGGTGCCTAATGCAGGCAGATGGGACGTCCCTTGTGCTGGGTTCTGCCTGCTGAGCAGCTCGTGGTAGAAGCTCATGTAGTGGTTGGGGATTTACCACTGCCAATGTGCTCTGTTCTCATGCCAGCTGAGAAATGACCTTAGGAAGGATAAACAAGACTTGGGTTAATAAGTACTGTTAAAGCACAGGGTGACTTCTCCTGCATCAGCAGAGGGTGGGCATAGTGCAAACTTGACTTGTTTGTACTGGCACAGCTATGCTCGGTTACATTCATAGAAGCATGGAATGGTTTGGATTGGAGGAGACCTTAAAGCCATGGGCAGGGACAGCTCCCACTAGACCAGCTTGCTCCAAGCCCCATCCAACCTGGCCTTCAACACTTCCACAACCTGGGCCAGTGTCTCACCAGCCTCACAGCAAAGAATTTCTTCCTCATATCCCATCTCAATCTCCCCTCTTGCAGCTTGAAACTGTTCCCCCATATCCCATCACTCCCTGCCCCTGTCCAAACCATTCACCCTCATCCCATCACTCTATGCCCTTGTCAAAACCCCCTCCCCAGCTTTCCTTGAGCCCCTTGAGGTCCTGGAAGGTGCTCTGAGGTCTCCCTGGAGCCTCCTCCAGGCTGAACAACCCCAAGTTTCTCAGCCTGTCTACAGAGCAGAGCTGCTCCAACCCAATTGACTTATCTTGAGCCTGATGGGAGAATGTTCTTAGCCTTGTGCTTTCTTCATACTTAGGGAGGTTTAGCGGCTTCCTCTGCCCTGCTCCTGGTGCAAGTGGTAAATGTGAGCTTGTGGCTAGCCATGGACCTTGCTGGAGTGCCTGTGAGTAAAATGGAGCGTGCAAATCCATCTTTGCTTGCTGTCCCCAGTGCAGGTGCCTGTGCCACCAGTGGTGTCCTCCCCCTGCACACCCTGGGTCTGTCTGGGTGTCTGACACCGGTGTGACCAGGACACCCGTGCGACACTGTCTGGGCTGCCACTGGCTCCGCATAGCCAGGTTACTTAAAAGAGGAATTGTTTTTCTGGACTGGCTGTTAGTAGAATCTGGACAATTAATATGTATTTTTTTTCTTCCTTGGACATGTAATTGACTCTTCCAGACATGTCCTTGTTGCATGATTAATGTTGTTTTTGAGCTGTATAAGCCATTTGTGTCTGTAAATCCAGTAACGATGCCAGTCAGCTGATTCTGCACCCAGGACTGTCGGCTGGGGTGCCCTGTGGCACCCTGCAGAGGGGCTGGATGGTGCCAGCCAGGGGCTGAGCCATCCCGTGGCTGTCCTGGCACAGACAGGGCACAGAGGAAGCTGCAGGTGATAAAACTGTTGCTGCAAAGGTGGCTTTGCTCTTTCCTTAAGGTGTTCAAAACCAAATCCCAGGGAACTGTCTGGGCTGTGTTGACTCCTTCCTACAGTCATGAAGAGAAGCTGTGTCTGCTTACACAGGGTGATTTTAGAGCCAGCCAAATATGTATCTGCTTTGACTAGAGAGCTCTGGGGGAGGGGGAAGGGGAGTATACTGAATACCTTCTGTGCATTCACACTTCTCGTTTGACCTTCTCTCTGTGAAAATGAGGGAGAAATTGGAGCCCTAGCTTGGTGGTAGTCATCAGCTGTGCTAGAAAAATTACATGAAGAAGGGCAGTAGTCACATGTGTGAGTCACTCGACCAACACATAGAGATCCAAAATGGAAAAGGGAACGCTGATTTGCAGTGGGGATGAGGTGGGTGAATGACAGAGCCAGAGCTCTGTGGTGAGCTGAAAGACCACTTGTGATATGAGTTTGGGGGCATATGAGCCCCATATATCAGCCTGGTGCTCTTGGGGACGGTCAGGACCTTTCCTCAACTTAGCTCTAAGGTGCAAGTGTGTATGAATAGGCAGACTGGGACAGGTATCCTGGGCCTGTATTTCTCTGGGAATGTTAGTCTCCAAAAATTACGGCCCTGGAGAGCTGACAAAGGAAGGAGGAGCCTGGCTGGAGGGCAACCTTCAAGTTAGGGGAGCGAGCTGCAAGTGAAGCATCTCCACAGCTTGCTTTGCTTCCAGGTCTGACCATGCAGAAGCCTCATACCTTGAGATGATGACCATTCCCGTCCTTGGCTGTCCCTCATCCTTTGTCCACTGTCAACATCCCCACCAGGGCTTGCCCTTCTCTGTGGAGAGGAGAGCTTGTCTGCTGTGCAGGTTGGGAAAGAGGTAAAGAGGTGGAATGTCCATAGGAAGGAAAGCAGATGATAAAAAGCAGTTGTGAGGAGGCTGGGTGTGGTGGGTGTTTCTGAGCTTTGTAGCTGAAGGTGCCTGGCAGATCACTGATGTTCTGGGAGGTGGCTGTCCAGGGCAGTCTGCTGTGTTCTGGCTGCCTAGAGCCCTGTCATTTAGGGTGACAAGTGGCCTGTGTCAGAGCTAGCCCCAGCTCAGTCCTTTTTGGTCTGTTGTTGTCCTCTGAGCTGACAGAGGACTTGTTGGCCTTGCTCAGCAGGCAGAAAGGTGTTCCTCCAGGAGGTGGGTTGAAGCTGGGGCGGTTGTATGAGCAAACCTCTGCAGAACAACTGCTTTCTTCCCAAGTAAATGAGTCATTCCAGGACTTTGAGTTCTACAAGCAAGGTGGGACCACAGGGAAAAGCTGCTTATTGACTGTTATCCCCAGTCCCCAATTGTGAGGGGAGAGACAGAAGCTTCCTGGGACATGGGTCTGAGGAAACTTACCTGAGGTGCCTTGCGAAACAGCAGCACAGAAATCCCAGAGCCCTGCCCCTGCCTTGCTCCAAGTGTTTGGCTCCAAGTGTTTTGTCTGTTTTTTCTTGCTCCAGGCTGTTCTGGGGATAATGAGATTTAATCAATCTCCAGCTCTACCCCTCCCCTAACCAGTTCAAATCCTATTATCTTGTAAAGCATTTGGAATTCTGTCCCCCAAAATTGCATTAAGCTGGGATGGAAATTCCTTCTGGCTTAGATGTTGCCTCCATATGGCATTGAGGTCAGGGTTTTGTTGCTGCTTGCTCTGCAGCTTCTGCAGGCTTGTTGGCATGGGGGCATCAGTGTTGGGGCTGACTCCCAGTGAGGTGGACTGGTTTGTCATGGGAAGCACAGAGAAGAGCTGGGGGGGCGGTACAGGAATCATGGAATCACAGACTGGATGAGGTTGGAAGGGGCCTTAAAAGATCATCTGGTTACAACGTGCCCTGCCCTGAGCAGGGACACCTTCCACTAGACCAGGTTGCTCCAAGCCACATCTAGCCTGGCCTTTGAACACTTCAGGGGTGGGGCATCTACAGCTTCCCTGGGATACCTGTTCCCTTGGAATGCTTGCTAAGAATGGGATTCAGTCAGGAACAAATGCTGTATGTTGTAAACCTGTGTGCACATAGTGTTTTGGACTAACTGTGAATCCTGCAGGACAAGGGAGGAAGTTGAAGACGTGGTTTGTAAATACCTGCTGTCTGTCTGGGAGGAGAAAGTCTCTTCCAAGTGACTGGAGATGGTGACACAGTGATAGCTGCCATCTCAATTGGCTTAATCCTTGACTGAAGTGTGCCAGCTCCTGTGCAGGACCTCTGGGGTCAGTCACTGGTTGTGTGTGGGTGATTCAGAGCTGTCAGCACAGAAATATCTCCCTTGAATCTCCGTGTTAGAGACTGTCAGAGACCAGTCTCTTGTTTTGGGGACACCACTAAGGGTCTCCTCACTCTCCTGCAGCCTTTGGCAAAAGGGGTGCTGAGGTGGGAAAGCTTAAAGAGCCTGGACACCAGTGGAACTCTAGGAGTGACCCTAGTGCTCATGGCTGGTGGGGAAGGCTCCCCTTACCCTTCTGCATAGTGCCTTTGGATGCTGAGCTGAGAAGGTCCCTGGTCCTGTTTATCTTGTGGGGCAGGACTCTACAGGGTTACTCAAAAAAGAGCACTCCAAGCTGTCCTTAGTGGGTCAGTCCCACAGTTGCTGACTGTGAGTCTTTTCCTACCTTCCAAAACCTGTTTTCTTGTTGTGTTCCTTCCAAAAACTGTTGTTGCACCCCTGTGGAGGGGAGGTGCATTGAGATATGCACCCGAGAGCTGCATCTGTGGGTCTGTGACTTGTGTTGCTGGAGCTGGTGGGTGATTTTCAGGTTATTTAGCTCCATCCCTAGTGACACTCCATCCCAGACTCAAGCATTCTTGCAATACCAAGACTCGGGTAGCTGGTGTCCTCACAGAAAGCTTGATACTGGGGGTCTCTGGCTCTTCTTAAGAGGTGTTGGAGCCCTAACTGTTGGTTTTTGTTTTGCCCTTGTCATTCACAGTACAGTGCCGTGGACAGCAACCCCCTGTCTCTGTACGTCATGCATCCCTTCTGGAACACCATAGTGAAGGTGAGACCTTCTCCTGTTCTGAGTAGGACAGTGAAATTCCAGTTGCCACAAAGTCTTCTCTGTAAAGCTGTCATCTGAAAAGTCCTGCTTCATTTGTGGTGCAGCTAACTGTCAAGAGTGCTGCCTTTCAGCCTGCAGCCCACCCTGAGCTTGCTGCATGACAGCCAACAGCTTCCTGCTGCTCTGTGGTATGCCAGGTGTGACTAAGCAGTGTTGTCTAACACCCAGACGATTGCAAGCAGGTCTCTGCTATGGATGGGAGCAACACGTGGTCCTTTTACACATTCTAATGAATTCATGTGTTCTTCTGCTGCTTTCCCATAGATCTTCCCTACCTGGCTGGCCCCAAATTTGATAACGTTTTCTGGCTTCCTGCTGCTTGTCTTCAACTTCTTCCTCATGGCATACTTCGACCCTGACTTTTATGCTTCTGGTAAGGTTGCATGTTCCTGTTCGGGAGCAAAGCATCAGAGTGGTGACATTTGTCACCTCTTTTGCTGTGACTTCTGCTGCTTGTTAACAAGGCCTCCTAGTCTGGGCATTCCCAGAGGCAGGTGGCTGTGCCAGAGGAAGGACAGAGTTGAGGGGCTGAACTTGCTGGGCTTTATGACGAGGGCTTGTCCAAGTATGTCACCTAGATGGGAGCCTGGCTGGCAGTGTGCAGGTGAAGGAGGAGGAAACAGCCCAAATCTTGAGTAGGAATTGGCTCTGCCTGCAAAGCAAACGAGGACCCAATGCCCTCATTTTAAAATCTGACAGGGTGAGGTGGGAAACTACTTCCCTGAAGTCGGCAGGTAGAGCCTTGTTCTTTGCATCCCAGCTAATTGCCCTCTTACAAAAACATGCCAGCACCACATTTAGACTAACAAAGGCAAAATCCTCCTTCTCAGCTTCAGCATTCTACATAAGGCAAGGGTTTTCACAGCTTTAAACTTTTAACAGTACTCATAGTCATTGTGAATCCAAAGGTTCATTTTTGTCCTCTACCTCATGGGAGTGTCCCAGGGAAAATATTAATACAGCATGGTAACTCTCAATCACTTATTGATAGGTTCCTTTATTTTTCTCTCCCTTTGCCCCTGCCAGGTTTGTTTTAGGTTGCTCAGAAAAGTTAATCTAGTTCTTCTAAAAATGGGCCAATCATCAAAACACAGTTAAGTGGGAAAAATACTGGTTTCTTGGACTTGCCTTTATGGTAGGTAGACAAGTACTATTCTCCATAGGCCAGGCTTTCAAAAGCTCAGGTGGCATCAGTGGCTGTTAGCTGAGATTTGGACTGTGTTTTGGTCCATAAGCCATGAGAAGAAAAGCTGACAGTAGCTCAGTGTGAGAATCCCCAGGACATCAGATGTCCAGAAACCTGGGCCCTGCCAAAAGGATGGTGAGGTTCATGCTTTGGGACCCTTTTATGCATTCATGTTACACATGTCCCGCTTGGAAAGAGAACTTTTCATTTTGCTGCTTGGGCAAAAGCTTGTGCTTTTTCCCCCTCTGAGCATTTTGTAGATGTGATGCCCTCCATTTGCTCCTGAAAAGGCATCATCATGCTGCTCTAGGGAAGCAGGAGATGGCATTCCATGGAATTGTTGTTCCCCTTGGGAGATAGTGTACCCTCCCTGTGAGGTTGCTGCCAAGAAGCTGTGTCTCTTCCTGCTTTTTTTCAAATGCCTCTTTGGGCTCCCTGAGTTGCAGACAGCTAAGCTGGGTATCTGCCAAAACAGGGCAGGAGGAGGTGGAGATCTTGTTAAAGAGGAACTCTTGTTTCAATTGGTGGGATGCAGACTGGAGAGGGGGTGGGGAACCCTGGCATGCTTCTGCAGAGGCAGGATGTCACCACATCCCAGAGAGGCTCTACTTGATGCTCTATGAGCAAGTGGTTGAGGAAAGTCTGATCTGCACACACTTCATAGAATCACAGGCTGATTTGAGTTGGAAGGGACCTTAAAGATCATCTAGTTCCACCCTCCTGCCATGGGCAGGGACACCTACTGCTGGACCAGGTTGCTACACCTGGAATGTCCCTTCCAAATCATGTGTTTGGGCTAAAGTTGGTAGCTGCCATCACCAGTTCTTAGATCTCGAGACTTTGGGGAGCTGAGGAGAGAAGACAACTGTGTTCTGGAAAGTAAGTCCCCGGTGTCCTGGTTTCACATTGGGTTGTGGAACAGCTCTGCCATCACATCCTGGAAAGCTAACATCTCAGTTTGGCTGTTTGAGAGGTGCAGGTGCTTTGTCCTGGTGAGCTGCCCATCCTTGTTGCTGTGCCTCCTGTGCCAAAATAAACCCAGGGAGAGTGCACGCTGAGGTGTCCTGAGCTGGGTCTTTCTCATCTTCACAGCTCCTGATCACCAGCATGTTCCGAACGCAGTGTGGGTCATTGTGGGTCTCCTCAACTTCATTGCCTATACATTAGGTAAGACTTTATCTAGTTGATTGTGGGGGTTTGTGTCTGTTGTCTGTCTATGCTGTGGCTACTTGTTTCTTATTTCTGAACCCACTGAGAAATTTTTTATTTTGGGCTCCTGCCATCCACTAATCCAACTGCTTCCCAGGCTGCTAGAACCTTATAGAATCATAGAATCCTAGGGGTTGGAAGGGACCTCGAAAGATAATCTAGTCCAGCCCCCCCTCCCAGAGCAGGGCCACCTAAAGTACATCACACAGGAATGCATCCAGGTGGGTTTTGAATGTCTCCAGTGAAGGAGACTCCACAATCTCCCTGGGCGGTCTGTTCCAGTGCTCTGTCACTCTCACAGTAAAAAAAATTTTTTGGATATTCACCTTGAACCTCCTATGCTCCAATTTACACCCATTACCCCTTGTCCTATCACTGGTCATCACTGAGAAGAGCCTAACTCCATCTCCCTGACACTCACCCCTTACATATTTGTAAACATTGATGAGGTCACCCCTCAGTCTCCTTTTCTCCAAGCTAAAGAGACCCAGCTCCCTCAGCCTTTCCTCATAAGGGAGATGTTCCACCTTTTCTGGGAGCTGCTTTGTGAAGCAAGTAGAACTGACTGATGCTGGAACTGACTTTGGGACGAATTGTGAAATTCTGTCTTTAGTCTGCTGTAAATAAATATCATCTTGTAAGATTATTGTGTTTTTCAGCCTTAAATAAAGCAGGGAGCTGGGAAGAACACTGCCCATTAAAGGATGGAGATGGTGAAAGCTGCTGTTCGCTTGCTTCCATGCATGTTGTCTGCTGCAAACTGGCCCATAACTTTGTATGGGGGTGTCCAGCAAAAGTCCTCATTTCTCCTTCTTCTCTTCCCAGATGGTGTTGATGGGAAGCAGGCTCGCCGGACCAACTCCAGCACGCCCTTGGGAGAGCTCTTTGATCATGGCCTGGACAGCTGGGCATGCGTGTTCTTTGTTGTGACAGTCTACTCCACCTTTGGACGAGGCTCCACGGGTGTCAGTGTCTTCGTTCTCTATCTCCTCTTATGGGTGGTCTTGTTTTCATTCATCCTCTCCCACTGGGAGAAGTATAACACAGGGATTCTCTTCCTGCCCTGGGGATATGACGTCAGCCAGGTGGTAAGTACATCCTGCGGCTGCTGCTTGGCTTCAGCAGAAGTTCCATAACCTGCTGGTGTGCCTGGGGCTTCTCTCACCTTCACATGTGCCCTTACAGAACAGGTGCATGGCCCTGGATCAGGAAAATCAGGTAACTGAGGTTACTGACAAAGATCCATCCAGGGAGTTGCCAAGGCAGTCTGCCCCATGCATTAAGATTGCCTCTGCTAAGAACAAAAGGAAGGTAATTGTTGTAGGAGATTCTCTTTTGAGGGGCATTGAGGGCCCCTATATGCCAGCCAGACCCAACCCTCAGGAAGGTCTGCTGCCTCCCTGGGGCCCAGGTTAGTGATATTACTGAGAAACTCCCAGGCCTGGTGCAGCCCTCTGATTACTACCCACTAGTGGTCATGCAGGTGGGCACTGATGAGATTGCCAAGGCAAGTTTCAGGGTGATAGAAAGGGACTTCAGAGAACTAGGCTGGTGCTTGTGGCATCAGGAGCACAGGTGGTCTTTTCCTCCACTCCTTCAGTGGCAGGAAAAGCTGAAAGGACTAGGAAAACACAACTGATTAATGTATGGCTTAGAGGCTGGTGCTGTTGGATGAACTTTGGGTTTTTTCAATCATGGAGATGTTTACAGGGCACCAGGTATGCTAGCAAACAGTGGGATGGAGCTATCAACAAGGGGGAAAAGGATTCTTGGCCAGGAGGCCAGGAAGGGCTCATTGAGAGAGCTTTAAACTAGACTTGAGTGAGATAGGGAACAAAACTCGTGGATGGTTTGATTTCCAGGATGCCAGGCCTGCTGGCATTGGATGGGAAGACCCTGTCCTGCAGGGGACAAAAGGTCCTAGGGCAGGAGTTAGCAGGGCTCATTCACAGAGCTTTAAACTAGATTTGAAGTGGGAGGGGGTTGTAGCTGGATTTGAACTAGTGTGGCATTGTTCTAGTATTAATGAAGACCAGAAGGCCTCCCACCTCCAAGGGGTGCCACCAGCCTGCTCAGCTCCCTCCCTGAAATGCCTGCGCACCAATGCAGGCAGCATGGGGAATAAATAGGAGGAGTTAGAAGTCTGTGTGTGCTCTAAGGGTTCCGATCTGGTGGCAATTACAGAGACATGGTGGGACAGCTCACATGACTGGAATGTGGTCATGGATGGCTGTGTCCTTTTTAGGAACGACAGGTCAGCGAAGCAAGGCGGTGGAGTTGCCCTTTATGTGAGAGAGCAACTGGAATGTATTGAGTTCTGTCCAGGGGCCAATGAGGAGCAAGTGGAAAGAAAGTCTGTAGGTACGAATTAAGGGGCAGGCTGGCATGTGTGATACAGTTGTGGGGGTCTATCACAGACCTCCTGATTGGGATGAGGGAGTTTATGAGGCTTTCTACAGGCAGCTGAAAGCAGCCTTACAACTACAGGCTTTGGTCACCATGGAGGATTTTAACTACCCAGATACTTGCTGGAAGGCTTACACAGCCAGCCATTCACAGTCTAGGAGGTTCCTCCAGTGCATCGATGATAACTTCTTGATACAAATGGTGGACAAACCAACGAGGAGAGGAGTGCTGCTGGATCTTGTGCTCACCAACAAGGAGGGTCTGGTTGAATTGGTGAGGGTCAATGGCAGCCTTGGCTGCAGTGACCATGAGATGGTGGAGTGCAGGATCCTGTGTGGGAGGAACAGAATACCTAGCAGGACCAGAACCCTGGACTTCTGCAGGACCAACTTTGGCCTCTTCAATCAATTACTAAGAGAAGTCCCACGGGAAGGGTACTAGATGGTACAGGGGCTCAAGGCAGTTGGTCAACATTCAAGGACCACTTCTTGCAAGCTCAGGATCAGAGCATCCCAACAGGTAGGAAATCAAGTAAGGGAGCCAGGAGACCTGCATGGTTAAACAAGGAACTGCTGGGCAAACTCAAGTGGAAAAAGAGAATCTGTAGATCGTGGAAGGAGGGGCTGGCCACTTGGGAGGAATATAGGACTGTTGTCAGAGGATGCAGGGAGGCAGTTAGGAAAGCTAAGGCCTCCTTGGAACTAAACTTTGCTAGTGAGGTCAAAGACAGTAGAAAGGGCTTCTTCAAATACCTTGCAGACAGAACTAACACTAGAGGCAATATAAGCCCACTGCTGAGTGAGGTGGGTGCGTTGGTGACAGAGGATATGAAAAAGGCAGAGGTACTGAATGCCTTCTTTCCCCTCTGTCTTTACTGCTTCAGACTCTCCCCAGGATCCCCAGATCCCTAAAGCCCTAGAAGAAGTCAGGATGAAGGAGGAGTTTGCTTTGGTAGATGTGGATTGGGTTAAGGATCAGTTAAGCACTCTAGACATCCGTAAATTGATGGGTCTGGATGGAATACACCTGTGAGTGCTGAAGGAGCTGGCAGAGGTCACTGCTAGGCCACTCCATCATCTTTGGTAGGTCATGGGCAACAGGAGAGGTGCCTGAGGACTAGAGGAAAGCAAATGACACTCCAGTCTACAAGAAGAGCAAGAAGGAGGACCCGGGTAACTATAGACCGGTCAGCCTCACCTCCATCCTTGGAGAGGTGATGGAACAACTTGTTCTTGGCACTATCTCTAGGCATATCAAGGATGAGGGGTCATTAAGAGCAGTCAACATGACTTTACCAAGGGAAAGTCATGTTTGACCAACCATACAGCCTTCTATGAGGAAGTAACGAGATGGATAGATGATGGTAGAGCAGTACATCTGGTTTATCTTGATTTCAGTAAAGCATTTGACACTGTCTCCCACAGCATCCTCATAGATAAACTGAGGAAGTGTGGTCTTGATGATCAGGTAGTGAGTTAGATCATGAACTGTTTGAAAGGAAGAAGTCAGAGAGTTGTGGTCAATGGGACAGAATCTAGTTGGAGGTCTGTGACTAGTGGAGTCCCTCAGGGGTCGGTACTGGGACTGGTACTATTCAATATTTTCATCAATGCCCTGGATGAGGGAACACAGTGTGGCCTCAGCAAGTTTGCTGATGACACTAAACTAGAAGGTGTGACTGACACGCCAGAAGGCTGTGCTGCCATTCAGCAAAACTAGACAGGCTGGAGAGTTGGGTGGGGAGAAACTTGAGGAAATTCAACAAGGGCAAGTGTAGAGTCTTGCATCTGGGAAAGAACAACCCCACGTACTAGTACAGGTTGGGGGCTGACCTGCTGGAGAGCAGTGTAGGAGAAGGGGACCTGGGGGTCCTGGTGAACAGGAGGATGACCATGAACCAGCAATGTGCCCTTGTAGCCAAGAAGGCCAATGGCATCCTGGGGTGTATTAGAAAGGATGTGGTTAGTAGGTCAAGGGAGGTTCTCCTCCCTCTCTATTTTGCCTTGGTGAGGCCACATGTGGAATATCATGTCCAGTTCTGGGCCCCTCATTTCAAAAAGGACAGGGAACTGCTTCAGAGAGTACAGCAGAGAGCCACAGAAATGATTAAGGGAATGGAACATCTCCCTTATGAGGAAAGGCTGAGGGAGCTGGGTCTCTGTAGCTTGGAGGAGACTGAGGGGTAACCTCATCAATGTTTACAAATATGTTAAGGGCGAGTGTCTGGAGGATGGAGCCAGGCTTTTTTCAGTGATGTCCAGTGATAGGACAAGGAGCAGTGGGTGCAAACTGGAACACAGGAGGTTCAACATAAACATCAGAAAAAAATTCTTTCCTGTGAGAGTGACAGAGCACTGGGACAGGCTGCCCAAAGAGGTCGTGGAGTCTCCTTTGCTGGAGATGTTCCTGGACGCTTTCCTGTGTGATGTGCTCTAGGTGACCCTGCTCTGGCAGGGGAGTTGGACTAGATGATCTTTCGAGGTCCCTTCCAACCCCTAAGATTCTGTGATTCTGTAAAGCCTACTGGAGTCTGTGAGGGAAGGGACCTTAAAGATCATATAGTTCCACCTCCCTGCCATGAGCAGGGGCACCTCCCACTAGACCATGTTGCTCCAAGCCCCATCCAACTTGTCCATCAACACTTCCAAGGATAGGGCAGCCACAGCTGTTCTGGGCAGCCTGGGCCAGTGTCTCACCACCCTCACAGCAAAGAATTTCTTCCTAAGATCTCATTTCAGTCTTCCCTTTTTTAGCTTGAAACTGTTCCCCCTCATCCCATAACTCCATGCCCTTGGTCAAAAGTCCCTCCCTAGCTTTCCTGGAGTCCTTTCAGGCACTGCAATGCTCTCTCGAGGTGGGTGTCTTCAGCCTATCTCCAGGCCATGTGGAGGAGAGCTTTCCTAGACTTCTTGCATGACTTTGAGCTTTAGTTGCTTTAATGAGCTGGGGTCATGTAGCATTAGTTTGGCTGCTCAATGCCATTAAATCCAAGAGGTTTGTGTGCTGTGATTCTATATTTTATTTCGAGTAGCATTTGTAGATGGATTATCCACAAAAAATGAGGCTTGAAGAATGGATATTCCCTTGTATTTCCTCTACCTGGATTCTGTTGTCCCGAGAGGCATGTTTTGGCCATCTGAATTACCACTCTAATTATTTTTGTGCATTACACCAACATGGCTATGTTCAAGTCGAGAAGTTTGGGGTGTCTTTTGATACTGGCGGGATTCCCAACTCTCACTAAGGACTTCTCTGCAGGAAATGCTTTCTGAAGGCACTTCAGAATTGGGAGCAAACTCTGGATGATACAGTTCACCTTTACTACTTGTGGCTGAACTTCTTAGCAGCAACACAGTACTCCTTTATCTTCTGGCTTACCAGATGCTGGGTGGGAAATGCAACAAGTTTGGAAGGTGCATTAATTGCAGTAATAATCTCTGCTAGCAGAGGAAGTCCATAGCTGGTCCCCCCTAACTAAACTCTGACCCCTGTCTCCAAAAGCATTGCTTGACTCTAATGCTTTTAGATCTCTGCCTGTTGCAGGGAGGCAGCAGGTTGGAGGGCTAAGCTACCCTGCAGTGTTCTTTACCAGCTTCAGGGTTACTGTTAGGACTGAAATATCCCTTGGGAGTTTTTTCCTGTGATTGCTTCACCAGAGGGGTAATAATAAGTCTGTGAACAAACCCTCCAGGGTCACTGCAACTTGTGGTATAAAACCTCTCTCTCGTGGTTCAAGAATCATAGAATTACCAAATTGTTTTGGTGGTAAAAGACCTTTAAGATCATCAAGTCCAACCGTTATCCCAGCACTGTCAAGGCCACCACTAAACCATGTCTCTCAGCACCACAGCTAGATGGTCTTGAAATCCCTCCAGGGATGGAGACTCCACCACTGCCCTGGGCAGCCTGGGCCAGGGCCTGACAACCCTTTCCATTAATGAATTCTTCCCAATATCCGATCTAACCCTCCCCTGGCACAACTTGGGGCATTTCCTTATGTCCTGTTGCTTGCTCCTTGGAAGAAGAGACCAGCCCCCTGGCTCCAACCTCCTTTCAGGCAGCTGTAGCGAGCAAGAAGGTCTCCCCTCAGCCTCCTTTTCTCCAGGCTGAACACCCCCAGTTCCCTCAGCTGCTCCTAGACCTGTGCTCCAGTCCCTCCCCAGCTCCATTTCCCTTTTCTGGCCACAAACATCTTTTGAGTTCAGGCTGTGCCTGGGCATCTTTGCTCCTGCTGTGAGAAGCAGCTCCTGGTTATATTCTTCCCAGCACCTACTACCCTTACTAAGTCTGGTCTCATAACACGGGACATCTGTGGATTTTTTGTATTTTTTCTCCTTCCTGCTGGTGGGGAGCACTGGACATGATGTAGCTTAGAGTGCCCTTCTGGAGCTGCCTTCCCCCAGAGCTGCCTGCACATGCCTCGTGCTGCCTACTCGGGTGCTGCTGGACTTGCCTGTCCAGTTGGTTGCTCACACCTGCTTCTTTTGTACTTTCTTTCAGACCATTTCAATTGTCTACATAGTGACAGCCATTGTGGGAGTTGAGGCCTGGTATGCACCTTTCCTGTTTAATTTCTTATATAGAGACCTATTCACTGCAATGATTATTGGTAAGAAACTCCATGTTGAAGCCTGTCTTTTAAACTCCACCTTTTTGCTGAAAGCCAATGTCTTAATTACATGATAACACTGTTCTGTTTGCTGTAATGAAAGTTCCTGTAGGCTGTTATTGAAGTGACTAATTGAGGGTGTTCTTGCAGCCTGTACTTTCCCAGGATTTCAAAATACTGTTTTCTTCTGCAAAGTTACTTTGGAGAACTTAACACCAATATGCCCAGGTCTCTTTGCTCACCAAAAAACCAAGAAAGTGGAGCACTGCACTCGTGCCTTGCATATATTTTGTGCCAGTCCTGAGGGTTTAGGTGCTGCTTGGCAGTCAGCCCTGGTGCTGCAGGTTAGTGTGGGCAGACACAAAATGATTCCTAGCCTGGAGCAGCATAGTGGGCAGATGAAAGAGGCTGAGGGTGGTGGCTTCTGCTCAGGGTCAGGGGTACCAGGGTGCTGGGAGCCCAGCACCAGCCCCTGGGTGCTGAACAGGAGACTCCTTTGTGCCTAAGGCTTGTGAGCAAGAGAGCAAAAACACATCTCCTCTAAATAGCTATCTTGCCCTGAGTGCTGGGACTGTGGGCTTTGTGTTGCCCAGGGGAAACATGATTTGTTTTCAGTGAGATCTGTGGTTTTAGGGGATAAAATGCAACCCAGTGTGGGTGCTGGGAGTGGGTGGGGCCCCCCTGGCACTTGAGCTGTTTGCAGAATGCTCTTACTTTGCTGTTTAAGGTTGTATCTGGCCTGGCAGCGTGGCCAGGACAGGACTCAGATCTCAAACATGGAGCCTGGGGCTGCTGCAGGAGGGAGGTTACAGCCATGGAGGTGGGGAAAAGCACACTGCTGTTTGGGGATCCTGCCCTCCAACCACCCAGCTAAGAATTATCTAAAATAAGTGAATAAAATGAAATAAAAGTCCAACCTTCCTCTCCAGTGGTCAGTGAGAACAAGCCACTGCCAAGGAGGGAGTAAGGCAGGTGAAGCTCAGCAGAGGAGAGCTGTGTGTGCTCAGTGAAATTTGGCTTATTCAGAAGTTCTTTCTTAGTTTAATTTTTCTTAGTCCGTGTCCCTTTCTTTGAGTTTAATTGTAACTACTTAATTTCAAATCATTGTCCTGAATCTAATGCTTGCACTTTTCTTAATCTGAGCTTTGCTTTGGCAGCTGTGGAACTGAATGTATGAATAATAAATGCACTTCTCCTACATGAAAAACAGAGCACGGTATCTACATTGCCTGGATTGGTGCTCTTGCATAGGAGTTGAATGATGAAAAGCAGGAATATTTACAGCTCTGTTAAAATACCTAGTGCTATATAAACATGGGAGGAGTTGTGAGAGACTCACAGGTTTGAGTGCAGCAGATGATGTTCTCTATTGAGGTCTAAATTTCTTCAAAGTTATTTAAATTCTTTGTGTCATTTATCAAGTTAAATGACAATCACTTATTTGTGCAATGGGAACTCAAAATGCTTGCTCACAGTGGGAGTGACAGCAAATGGGCTTTGTTACAAAGACTGAAAACTGTTGTGCACAGCCATGTCACTTGTGGAGTTTGAACTCTCCTCGTGTCTTATTAAAGACAGTATTATAATTAAACTTCATAACTGTTTAAAGCATAATACCAAGCTTGTTGATGCAACTTCTTAAAACTGAGATGCCTTTAATCTCTAGGAGACCTTAACTTGTAATTACAGCTCTTGGAGCAGAATTACAAGCACCTACTTTCAAGTGTGCCAAGCTATTCTTGGGGCACCACTGAGCTATTTTTGTTGCACACAACTTAAACCCAAGCACAACCACCTGCCTGTTCGTGGGGTGCACGTGATGGTCTCCCTCCTTCCCAGGGCAGTAACAGGGCTCTCTCTCTTCCAGCTTGCGCCCTCACTGTGACACTGCCGATGAGCCTCTATAACTTCTACAAGTAAGTTTCTGTGTCCTCAGTTCTCCCTCCCTGCACCAGCACCTTTGCAAGAGCCCCCCAAACCTTGTAGAACTTGGTTTCCTTAGTAGACTCATGCAATTGTTTTCATTGGAAAAGACCTTTGAGATCATTGAGTCCCACCTGTAACCCAGCACTGCCAAGGCCACCACTAACCCATGTCCCTCAGCACCACATCTACATGGCTTTGAAATCCCTCCAGGGATGGGGACTCCACCACTGCTCTGGGCAGCCTGTGCTAGAGCTTGACAACCCTTGCCATGAAGAAATTCTTCCCAATATCCAAACTTATCCCCTGGCACAACTAGAAGCTGTTACCTCTTGTTGTGTTACTTGTTCCTTTGGAGAAGAGACTGCCCCCCCTGGCTCCAAACTCCTTTCAGGGGGTTGTAGAGAGTGAGATGGTCTTCCCTCAGCTTCCTTTTCTCCAGGCTGAACACCCCCAGTTCCCTCAGCTACTCTTCATCAGACTTGTGCTCCAGACCCTTCTCCAGCTTCATTGTTTTCAGATGACTTTTTTCAGTGTGAGAAAATGACTCTGACAAACCAGAATGTCCCAGAATACATGCTGCACTGGGAGGAGGGCTGGCAGCCTGCTAGGCTGGGTCTTTCAGAAGGGCCCCCAGCTTTTTTAGGCTTGACCTGTTGGTCACACCCCAGAGAGCCAAACAACCAAGTGCCTCTGCAGTTCAAGACTGTGAAGGTTTTGATTTAACAGTGAAGGTGTGCATCTTCCTCCTCTAATTGTGGTTATGACTGATATCAGCAGTTTTGAGTAGCAGAATGGCCAATGAGGTTTTGCAGCCCTGTTCTGAAGACAGGGACCACCCGGTATTTCTTAGCTGGGGTTCCATTTTCATGATATTTTAATGGTATTTTCTTTTTTTCACTTGCTTTTCAGGGCCTATAAAAATAACACCTTGAAGCACCATTCGCTGTATGAAATCATGCTGCCACTGGTATCCCCAGTGCTGCTTTTTCTGCTCTCCACCACCTGGATCTTCATGTCCCCGACAGACATCCTAGAGGTCCATCCCAGGCTCTTTTATTTCATGGTTGGAACGGCCTTTGCAAACATTTCTGTAAGTGGCTTTTGCTGTGTGCTCCATTTTCTGCACTGGTGAGAGTGAAACCTGCTGGGACACTTGGGAGGCAGGAAGAAAAAAAGCAGCTCAAATGTGAAGATACAAGGGAGATACGATCATGGAATAATTTTGATTGGAAAAGAACTATAAGATCATTGAGTCCAACCATTACCCCAGCACTGCCAAGGCCAACACTAAACCATGTCCCTCAGCACCACATCTGCATGGATTTGAAATCCCTCTAGGAATGGTGTCTCCACCACTGCCCTGGCCAGCCTGTGCCTGACAACCCTTTCCATTAATAAATTCTTCCCAATATCCAATCTAAACCTCCCCTGGCACAACGTGAGGCCATTTCCTCTTGTCCTGCTGCTTTTGCCCTGTGAGAAGAGACAGTCCTCCCCTGGCTCCAACCTCCTTTCAGGGGGTTGTAGAGACCAAGAAGCTCTCCCCTCATCCTCCTTTTCTCCAGGCTAAATGATGCAAAGATTAACTTAACAGCTTTTCTAGTTTGCTGTGATTTAAAGAACAAACAGGAAGGTAAGACAAGATTTGGAGTCTGCAAATTTTGTGCTGCATCTCTCACTCTTGATAAACTAGACAATTAGCTAAATTGAGTGTGCAGCGTCACTCTGAATAGCACACTGCTAATACAAAAGGAGTTCCTGCTTCCTTTCTTTCTGATGGACTCAAAATGGGGAGACTGAAGCTTCTGTCAAAATCTGATTTATCTGCATTTTGCATTTTTGCTTGAGACCTTAACAAAGATGCCCATGCTGGTCACTTCAGGCATGTGGCTGTGCAGCTCTGTGTCCATGTGGTGGGTCACAGAATCATAGAATCCCAGTCTCGTTTGGGTTGAAAGAGACTTTAAAGATGATCTAGTTCCACCCCCCTGCCACGGGTAGGAACACCTCCCACTAGACCAGTTTGGTCCAACCTGGCCTTCAACACTTCCAGGGAGGGGTCAGAAACAACTTCCTTGGGCAACCTGGGCCAGTGTCTCACCACCCTCACAGCAAAGAGTTTCTTCCTTAGATCTGATCTCAGTCTCCCATCTTTCAGCTTGAAACTGTTCCCCCTTGTCCCATCACTCCCTGCCCTTGCCCAAAGTCCTTCCCCTGCTTTCCTGTAGCCCCTTGAGGTCCTAGAAGGTGCTCTAAGGTCTCCCTGGAGCCTTCTCTTCTCCAGGCTGAACAACCCCAACTCTCTCAGCCTGTCTCCAGAGCAGAGCTGCTCCAGCCCTTGCATCATCTCCCTGGCCTCCTCTGTACTTGCTCCATCAGGTTCCAGCTCTCATGATGCTGCTTGGCATCAAGGTGGTACACCTTGGTCAGCTTAAGGGAACTCCTTTTACTTTTTAAAGATGCCCTTGATGCCCATTTTCATGTTACCCGCCTGCCCCGCAGGGCTTTGTTCCTTGTGTCCCACAAGAATTCAAATGCAAAGATAGATCTTGAGTGAGAAACTTGGGGAAACTGGATGCTGGGAGCTGTAAGCACAGGCGATTGGTACATGCAGACGTGTGGCTGTCTCTGCACAGGGCTTGCAGAGTTGGTGTTGGCTGCAGCCCTGACAGCTTTCTCTTCCTGCAGTGCCAGCTGATCGTCTGTCAGATGAGCAGCACCCGCTGCCAGCCTCTCAACTGGATGCTGCTGCCCATAGCAGTGGTGCTCCTGGTGGTGATGTCCGGCTTCGTGCCCAGCAGCGAGACTCTTCTCCTCTACTTGCTGACTGCTTTCCTCACCCTGGCACACATCCACTACGGGATGGTTGTGGTAGGTGAACATGGTGCCTGAGCTTCAGGCTGGGCTGTGGGCTCTGGCTGCAGGGTGTGTTTGTGTGCTGCTGGTGTTGGGAGCTTTAATCCAGGAATGTCAGTGGGAATAACTGTGACTGCCAAGCTCTCGTTGTGCTGTCTGTGATGGTGCAAAACTTGAGTTGTTGTGTGGGTTTGAAACAAACTTCACACATTGTGATGGGGGGCTGTTGTACTGGAGATTAATTTAGAAGAAATACATCTTTACTGCCATGTTTAACTGATCCTGGCTGTGGTTGCAACTTAGTGGACAACTTGGGTGTCAGCCAACACAGGTGACCCACACCCTGAGACGTTGGGAAGAGCAGCTCCAGCAGATAGCCAGAGCAGCAAGTACTATGTCTGCACATCCATCAAGAGTGATTAATTTGGGAGTCTTAGTCTAAAAAGTCTAGAAAGTTAACCTGCTGTTGGTGTTACTTTGGTTGATGAGTTTGAGCTGCAGCCTCGCTGATGTGCCCTGTGCTGGAGTCACTGGGAAGGCCGGTATGGAGAGGGGACATCCCTGCTAGGGAACATGAGGGCACTGCAAGTGCAGAGCCTTCTCCCCTGCTTCAACGATGTGCAGAGATCCAGGGGCCAATTTGCTCCCCTTGCTCGTTGCCAGCTCTGCCTGATGCCCTGAGTTTTGACTGAGAGAGAGGGGACTCTGAGAGGAGACCTAGTCCTGTTAGAGATGCCCCAGGAAGCTGCTGAGAAACGAAGGCAAGGGACCCAATGTTCCCTAGGGAGCTGGCTGATGCCACCCTCCTTGGGAAGCATTGTCTCCTGGGACCTCCATCTCTAATATGGAGTCTCCAGAGTCAAGTTTGAACTTTAATTACACCAAAGCAGTAATATCCAGGTTGTCCTATCTTTCCAATTAGTGTAATGAGGCTTCTATGCAAGGATTTGAATAGCTAAGGAGCTTAAATAAATTTGGTCTTGGAATCATAGCTGGAGATAGGGGCTGACCGAGTGGTGTAATCCTGTCTGCCCAGGCTTGCCCATCCATCCCTGCCATGAGCTTCTTCATGCCCTGCTCCCCTGAGCTTGTTCCTCTTACTCCACCCTGTGTCTTTCCACAGGCCCATATGTGCAGTCTCCTCTTTCAGGATAAAAGAAACTGACCTGAAGAGCCTTTTAAGGCTCTGTGACAGGGACATAATCCCAAACTGCTCTGAACTTTAGAGTAATGATCAGGAATAAACCGTCTGCCCTGATTCTGTGCCCAGCTTAGCCCTCCTGTGCTGCTCAGCACAGCTTGTTTGGGCTCTCATGAGGATCAAATGAGGATGCCACACCATTCATTCTGCCCTCCTGCCCACAGTTCTCTGAACCAGGCCTGGAAGCTCATTTCCTAGTGGTGTTCTCAGTCCTCTCTGGTTTCCTAATGTCCTCAAAAGATGCAGTGAAAGCTTCTTCCAAAGGCTGGTGTAAAAGGGGACTGAATATCCAAAACTCGATGTTGGGCTCCCCTCTGCTCTGTAACCCTCCTGTGTGTTCCTTTAGGTCAATGCCATGAAATTTGAATTGTGAATCATGGAACCCCAGACTGGTTTGGGTTCAGAGGCACCTTAAAGACCAAATAGGTCCAACCTCCTGCCATGGGCAGGGATACCTCTCATTAGACCAGGTTGGTGCAAGCCCCATCCAGCCTGGTCTTCAACACTACCAGGGATGGGGCAGCCACAACTCTTTGGTGCAACCTGGGCCAGTGTCTCACCACCCTCAGAGCAAAGAATTTCTTTCTCAGATCTCATCTCAATCTTCCCTCTTTCAGCTTGAAACCATTCCCCCTCATCCCATCACTCTGTGCTTTCCTGTAGCCCCTTCAGGGGCTTCTCCTGGAAGGTGCTCTAAGGTGTCCCTGGAGCCTTCTCTTCTCCAGGCTGAACAACCTAAATTCTCTCAGCCTGTCTCTGTACCAGAAGTGCTTCAACCCTTGGATCATTTTTGAGATAGTGAGTTCAGGGAACATTTTTTCAGATAGGTATCTGAGATGATCAAATTGATTTATGTAAAATATTAACAATTCTACTGGGAGGGGTAGACAGGGGCCGCTATTGCAGGGTAAAATCCTGCCTGCTTGGGCTCAGGGCAGGCATTTCTGACTCATACCCCTAAGGAGGTCAGGAATGGAGGCAAGTCTACTTCCAGGAAGTTGCTTGGAAGTTTGTGAGGAGGGAGCAAGGCTGTAATTTGCAGGGCCATGTGCCTGCCCAGCTCTGATGTTGGGCTGGTAGGGACAGGGTTTGGCTCCTGAGCAGGGCAGCTGGGCCGGCCCCATGGCACAAGGCAGAGGCTGTGGTCCATATCTGCCCCAAAGGGCAGCATGTAGGGTGGGGAAAGTGGGTGCAGGAAGGTGGCATGGGCTTTGTTGGCAGTCTGCTCTGCTTGCTTTCCTTCTCATCCCTCAGAGCCTTGCTAACCTGGTCCTGTTGTCTGCCCTGTCCCCAGGTGAGCCAGCTGAGCAGGCACTTCAACATACGGCCCTTCTCGCTAAAGAAGCCCACGCCAGATTGACTAGGAGTGGAGGAAGAGAAAATCAGCTTGCGGTCTGCAGAAGTACTGTAAATAACTGCTGCAAATACCTGTAAATACTTCAACCATCACCACAGATCTAAGCCTATCCTCTGGACAGACATCAGGACAAAGCACGCACGGATCCGCTGCAGCCAGGGCAGGACTGGTACGGAGCAGCCCCGGTGGCTGTTTGACGAGTGCAAGCTTTTGGTTTTGGGTGAAACTGGACGAGGAGGGTAGCCTTTTGGGTCACGGTTACTGTAAATTAGACCAGCTGAATGTTCCCAGAGAAACCTCAGACTCCAGCTCTTGCTCAGTTAAAGCTGGTTGGGGATGCAATTGACTTTACCTGAGCAAAGCATCTTCACCTGTCACCAAACCCAATGTAACAGCTGATTTCCACAAGGTCGGGAACATCCATGTGGTCAGGCGAGTTCTTGTCTGTCCCTAATCCTGCTAGACTGCCCTTCTCCTGGGCTGGTACTTAGGGACCAGATGGTGACAGTTCTCCCACGTTTTGTCCTGCCTTCCTGCACTCATCTATTTGGGCACCTTGTTTTGTTTTGTTGTTGTTTTTTATTAAGCGGAAAAAAAAGAACAACACACAAAACTTCTAGTAATGTTCTACTTCAGGGGCTTAGAAAAAGCAGGGCTCAATTTCTGGTGTAAGTGGGAAGGCAGCTTCTGCTGAGCTGTGGGTACCTGGGACCACATCTTGACCATGTTATTGTCTGTCCATGTGTGTTCCCTGCCCAGGAGTGTGGTCTGGGCTCTGATTGGCAGCAGAGAGTGGCTGACACCAGCCTCTCTGACTCCCTCTTTCTCCTGCCCCTGGGAGCTTGCAGTTGCAGGTGGGCTCTGCTGGGTCCTTGCATACTGCCCCAGCCTCCACTTCCAGAGCCAGGCTCAACCTGCACCTTGCCCTTCCCACCGGACCATCGATGGCAGCAGATCCACCGCTCGGAGAAGCACCTTAATAAGTGTTGTGTTGGTTGTGTGTGCACTTTCAGGGAGCTCACGTGTGTGTGTGTGGTGGGGTTCTTCCCAAGTATCTCCTTATTCTCAAAACCAGTGTCCTCAGCGGCTGCATGTCTCATCCAGGGATATATTTGTTTACTGTTCATTTGTAAAAGAAATGTTTGCATCGATTTTTTTTTTAATATTTTTTTTTGAAATTGAGTTAGAGTGGGGTGGTGAAGATTGAATGCTGATTTTCTTTTCTGTTCACTTTATTTAATGAAGACCTGTGCTTGAATGAAGAGTGTAGCTTAAACCCAGGCTCTGGAAAGGCTGCATCCGGAAGCGAACAAGCGCAGCAGATTGTGCGTATGTAATTACCATGGGAACAAAGTCACTTACACACTGATGAACGTACAACGTGGTCTGTAGAAGCTTGGTCACAGCATTTTCCTTCTGCAGGTGAAGACCCCTCCTGCTTTAGGAAATGTACAAACCTTAACAACTGTTTGATGTTCTTTTTTTGGTTTGTTTTTCCTTATTTTTGTAAATTTGAATCCTTGTCATGCAGACTGTGTAACTTGAAATCCTGAGGGGAGCCCCCTGCCTTCAGGGGGAGCCACAACAGGGTTGCTCGCTCATGGTACGTCCTGCGAGGAGTGAGCTGGGGCCTGCTGGCATGGTGGGAGGGCTCAGCCAAAGGTCTGTGTGCTCACTTCTGTGTACAGCTACCACACATCCTGGGAGGGTGGCTGATGTGGGAGAGGGGGCAAATGATTTTCACAGTTTATTAAATAAAGTAGCTTGCTCCTTACATATTCTACTGACGTTGTACAGGAAAAAACCCCAAACCTTCAGTGTACAAATGAATTGGGCTGCGCTTGAATTTTTGACTTTTACTATTTAATGAGATATAATAATTTTTAAGGGAGATAAGTTTAACTCGTGCTCGTACAATAATTACAGGGAAACTTAAAACAGGAGACAATGCTCATGTGTGGGACACGTTCAGATAGCAGATCTGTGCTAGCAGCGGGGAGGTTGGATCATTTACTTTCTAGTTAAGTGTTTGCAGGACAAAGGAAGAACTCAGATGTTCCATCTGGTTTTCAGCTGAGCTCTGGGGTCCCAAGCCTGGAGCTTGCCTTGTCCTGCCCCTTCTCACTAGCACTGCTGGACCCTGAAGACTGAGCCAGGGCTGATGCTGTGGGAAGTTGGTCTTAAATCTTAGGATGTCCCTTTATGTTGGTAATACACTGTTTGTCTGTTGTCTCAGCTAGCTATGTGCTTTTGCAGCACAAACCATACCTTGAAAACCCCTTTGTGAAGTTACAAGCATGTGGAAGTAGGGCTTCCTCTCAAAAATCCTGCAAATAGCTGTGCTGTAGGAGAAGGATTTCTCTTCAAAACTGGAACCACTTCCTACCTGCACAGGCTTTGTCTTTGGAGAGCCCTGGATTTTTGGTGCCTTAATTTATTGCACCTTGAAGCTAGAAAAATGTCTCCTTAAATCAGTTGTGGAAAATATAGACTTCGTTGTCTCTAGTGCTGCTGGGCTTATGGCAGAGTGAGGAGAGAACGGACCTGATCTCAATGCATGCCAGAGAGTGTTCCTGACTTGTGCTGCTGCAAAGCTGGTGGGGTTTCTCTTTGGGCTGTTGTAAATAAAGTGATTTCTGCTCCCAGATTCTGGGAAGTGAAGGGAAACAGACCAGACTATCTTGCCGTGGTGGGGTGGGAAACGAACTGTTTATCCATAATACTGGGTTTAAGTCTTAAGAATAAATTGTATTCCTTCCTTGCTGACAGCATCCGGGGGTGGTTGTGTCATGGTGGTGGTTGCTTGCCTTGCTGGATGGACTCTGTCCTCATGGTGGGGTGGGACAGGGCTGTGTGCAGGCTGGGTAGGATGTGCAGTTCCTCCTCAGCTCCTGTCTGGTGATTGAGAGCTGAGCTGCTGTTGTTTCTTTTTCCAGAGGTAGTGTTAAATCATATTTCCTTAATTACTGATGAACCTGCTGAGTTGCTAAGACTGTCTCAAGCTTTCCTAAGTCTGTTTTGCACATTTTTATCTCACTACAGAGTACTACCAGGAAAAAAAAATAAATGAACTGTTCAGAGAGAAGTGCAGTCCTTCAGGACCTGCTGGGGATGTTGATCTCCTGGCCTTGTGCTTCAGGCAGGTCCTTGGTCTGTAGGAAGAGGTGGCCAGTGCTACCAGCTCCTGGTGGCCCATCAACCTTCTCTCTGAAGCAGGTTTTTGTGGGAGCCTGGAACACACCAATGTGTGTGTGTGCTAAGACAGAGAAGGTGGCCTTGCTCGCAGCCTTTTTCATCTCCATCTTGTGGTTCCTGTTACAGCTCAAGCCTCTGTGCCCACCCACTGTCCTAGTGCCGCAGTTCCCAAGCAGAGCCAGCACTGAGGGTGATGTGCAGCTTTGGGACATCCTCCAGTTTGGGCAAAACTGGCTGTTGTACTAAAAGCAACATGTTACCAGTACAAACACTGCACCTGACTTGCGGGCCCACGAACACTGGGGAACCCCAGCACCTCTGCATCATGGTTTGAGCTCCTTCCCTCTACCCTCTGCGCTACAATCAAGTCCCCTCATCTGCAGTTGGTCACTGTGAGGGCTCGGGAACATTTTTTCCTCTGGTAAACATCAGCCACCTGCCAAAGGCAGCTTTGCCAGAGCCAGGGAAGCAGAAGCTGGAAGCGTGAGCCTCTAAGGCTCTGGAAACACACTTAAGCTCCTTAAATAGAGCTGGCCTGATGTTACCTCCTGGGTACATCAAGTACCTGCAGATTGTGGTCCGAGCACAGGTTTGGTCTCCATCAGGTCAGTTCTAGCAAGGTTCCTAAACTCTTCCCTAAGAGCATCTGTGCCTGCTTGTGACAGACCTGGGATATCTCTAGAGATGTAGTGCTTTTTGGAAACTAACTCACATCTGTTTATTTTTGTGTGGATTTTTGTGCAAACAAGCTGTAGCTGAGCTCTGGTCACCTTGGTTGAAGGCAAAACTGTGCATGGGGTTTCTGTATCCTTATGAAACCTGCAGGAACTGAAGCAGAGTCTTGTTTCCAGTTGTCCCCTTTTTTGCTCAGCGTGCATCTCCTGCTTGGAAGTGGGAGTCCTTCAGCCCACCAGTGTTCCCTTACACCCAAAATCCTTCTGTGCAGTGTGTCAGCCTTGCTTGGGTGCTGTGGGCCAGCAGTGGTGATGGAACTGGGTCAGCTAATGTCTTGTTTCCTCTTTGCTTTTTCTAATGCAGGTCTTCAACCCTGTCCTGGGGTTGTGACCTTGACTCCTCCTGCTTAACCCACCTCTTTTACCTCTCTGCACTGTGTTGAAGCAGCGGCAAAGGTGATGTGGAGGCTGCTTTTGGTGGGTTGTGGTGACAACGGGTGCTTCGCTGACCTCTTTGCTGCTGGAAAAGGTCACTGTTAGTTTGTAGAAGACCTTTGGCCCATCCAAGTGTGGTCAGACTGGCTTGGGAGATCTCTAGGCTGGTCTCCAAGGAGATGGTGTCAGAGACTGGTCACCTGCAAGGGTATGTGGAACAACAACCTCCCTTGTGTCTCAACTCAGGATGGAGTCCTGTGTTAGGCACCTGTGAACAGTGCAGGCAGGATGGCAGGCTCTCCCCCTCCCCCTGCTCCTCCCTATCTTGCCTCCCTGGGTAAATTTCCAGACACTACTCTGTGCACGTGCCCCCACCAGGGCTTGCCTTGGACCCTTGGAAGAAGTCCCTGTTTCCAACTCCCCCACACCCCCATTCTAGAACTCTGGAATGTCAGACTACATAGCTGCAGATCCCAAAACCTTCTCCAGAACTGCACAAGTGCAAAGCTCAACTGTATGTTGCCCCCTTGAGGGTGGTCCCTTGGGGACAGAACTTAGAAGAAGGGATGAAAGCACGTCATGCCCTTGTTGACCAGGACCTGAGGCTTAGAGGCTTGCAGAGCTGGACAACACCCTAAGAAAAGACCTCACTGGAACAAAGGGTAGTAATACATTTGTTCTGTCTTCTACCTTTCCATCTTTACTTTCTTCTTTTCTTACTACAGGTTAAAGTCTTACAGCCCCCTTGGCATTTCCCTAGTTTGTTCCATTCACTGGTTAGAGCAGCTATTCTGTGAGTTAACCTCTCTGCATTGTCCACCATGAGCACTGAAGCAGTGAGCTCCCCCTAAAGCAAGTATCAGGTGATTCCTCTAGGCCACTTGCCCTGGCTGTTCTTACCAGGCAGTGTTGCAGAAGTGAGACTCATGCACTTTTTTTGGGTATAAAGTGGTTTACGTCCCTTAGACTGGCTTGGGAGATCTCTAGGCTGGGCTCCAAGGAGATGGTGTCAGAGACTGGTCACCTGCAAGGGTATGTGGA